AACTTTCAAGCTTTTAATTTAGTTATGTTCATTTGATATTTACTAAGTATGAACCATGCATAAGGTCTCATGATGCATTAAGTGACAAGAGATGAGTAAGAACATTTGTTTTCAAGAAGGTGTAGTTTAATAGGGAGAATGAGTTAAGAATACAAATGTCTACAATTTGAAGTTCTATGTACAGAAGAAGAAGAAGAAGAGGAAGAGGAAGAGGAAGAAGAAGAAGAAGAAGAAAGAAGAAAGAAGAAGAAGAAGAAGAAGAAGAAGAAGAAGAAGAAGAAGAAAGAAGAAGAAAGAAGAAGAAGAAAGAAGAAGAAAGAAGAAGAAAGAAGAAGAAGAAGAAGAAGAAGGAAGAAGAAGAAGAAGAAGAAGAAGAAGAAGAAGAAGAAGAAGAAAGAAGAAGAAGAAGAAGAAGAAGAAGAAGAAGAAGAAGAAGAAGAAGAAGAAGAAGAAGAAGAAGAAGAAGAAGAAGAAGAAGAAGAAGAAGAAAACTTTGTTCTGAGTTCAATGATTCACTAGGTGTGGTAGCTAATGCCTGTAATCCCAGCACTTTGGGAGGCTGAGGTAGGAGGATTGCTTGAACCCAGGAGTTCAAGACCAGCCCGGGCAAAAAAGCAGGATTCCTTCTCTACAAAAGAAGAAAGAAAGAAGGAAAGAAAGAAGGGAAGGGAGGGGAGGGGAGGGGAGGGGAGGGGGAGGGAGGGGAAGGGAGGGGGAGGGAGAGGAAGGGAGGGGAAGGGAAGGGAAGGGAGGGGAAGCCAGGTGTGGTGGCACATGCCTATAGGCCTAGCTACATGGGAGGCTGAGGTGGGAGGATTGCTTGAGCCCAGGAGGTCAAGGCTGCAGTGAGCCATGACTGCACCACTGCACTCCAGCCTGGACAACAGAGTGAGACTCCATCAAAAAAAAAAAAAAGTGCAAAGATTCAAAGAAGCTGTGTTTATGTTAGGGGGAAGGAAAAAGGCTTCACAGGCCTTAAAGAAAGGTAGAAATGTGAAACAAAGATGCAGATATATATGGGAGTAAGTGAATTCATGAGTCAAAGTGAAGATGGGATTAAAACTCAGACCTGCCCCAAGCTGGAGCCCAAGCAATAGAAGCAGATGAATTTCAAAAGCAGTCACAGGTCATGTTGTGAAGGGTTTTAAATATGGTATTTTCCTGCCAAAATTAGTAACACAATCAAGTCACAGGGCCAGAAGGAAGACGACTCTAGTGGTAGAGGAGGATACTATGGCCAATAGGCATTGAGAAGAGAGAGTAAGACAAAGATACACAGTGTAATTTAGACATCAGATGCTTTGGATATAAGGATATTGTATGTTGATTAGTTAAGGATGTAACTAGTCTCCTGGAACAAATCATGAATTAATACCCAAAACCATGGGTTCAAATCCTGTTTCGGCCCTGAAATATGTGGGCTTAGTAAGAATAAATAAATAAATGAGTGAGTGCCAGTTATGTACTCCCTGTAACACTCACAGCAATTCTTTAAATAGGCATCAGTAACTTCATTAGACAGATTAGGAACCAGGGCACAGAGAATGTAGGTAAATGCCAAATGTCAGAGAATTGATAAGTAGCAGCGTTTTAGGATTTGAATAAAATATTTCCGACTAAAGCCTGTGCTCTTCCAACCCTAGGTTTGAATTAATTCCTCCTTTGCGTTAGCCCCATGACTTTTTCACATTCTTAACACCTGTTTCTTTATCAATAAAATGGGGATCATAACCGCAAGCCTGCTGGATCCTTATCAAAATTAAATTAAAATGACTGTACTGTAGTTCAGGCTCCATCAACTTAGCTTTTAAAGGAAGGAAGAAATTAAAGAGTTTATAAAAGAAGATACATAAAACTTGTTTAAATAATGATACTTTCTTGTTTCCCAAGAAAAGGTTTACTACTTGCCAGTGATTGAAAAGAAACCCAAATTTTTATTTTAATCTTTGTTACTGATCTATAACTCATCTCTAGTTCTTATTATTTATTCTCCCAGTTTTTTTATGGTTTCTCTACTGCAGGCTATATGCTGTATATCAAGCAAAATCCCTGTAATATCCCTAAATGTAAACATGTGACTGCTCTGAACGTGCGTAGCGTAAGCACACTCAAAGAACTTCATTAATATTGTATATTAAATATAACTCACTTTACTCTTTATAGTGAAAGATTAGGTGACACTGAATTGATTTTCCTTCTCACTTATTTGGTTTTCTTTGAGAAAGAAATTTATTTGTTTTGAGTGTGCATATTTCCAGGTGATTCTGGTAGAAAATTAGATATGTACTATGCAGCAATGTATTAAATATATAAATATCTACATAGATGTATTTTCAAAATGTAGTGTTCATAAAAAATAAAAAAGGATCGGTATATTAAAAACCCAATTTATACACACTAAAAATGTATGTGCACTAAAAACACGCATTTTGAAAGAACACATACAAACAAAATCATGTTAAATTCATTAGAAGATTTGTCTGCTGTAGGGGGAAGGGCATAGACTTTGGGAATATAATGGTGCTATAGTTTGGATATTTGACCCTCCACATATCATGTTGAAATTTGACCCTCAGTGTTGAAGTGGAGTCTAACTGCCAAGAATTTGGGTCATGGGGACAGATCCCTCATGAATAGATTAATGCCCTCCCTGGGGGAAGTGAGTGAGTTCTCACTCTATTCGTTCCTATGACAGCTGGTTAGTAAAAAGAGCCTGGCACCTTCCTCTCATCTCTCTCTCTTGCTCCCTCTCTTAGCATGTGATCTCTGCACATGCTGGCTCCCTTTCTTCTTCTGCCTGGAAGCAGCCTGAAACCTTCACCGGAAGTACACCATGTTTCTCGTACAGCCCACAGAACCAGGAGCCAAATAAACCTCATGTATATATCCTTTGTGTTGCCATAGAGGCATAACTGAAGATGGGTAATTTATGTATTTGTATATATATATTATTATATATTTTATTACATTTTATATATTATGTACAAATATAGTATATATTATATAATATATAATATATTAGAATTTACTCCTACACTGTGCCAGTGTGTTTACTTTAGGACCTATGTAGGTCCTAAAGTAGATCTAGGTCTCCCTCTTTCTCTCTATATATGTGAAATATAATATTATATAAATATAAATTATTATTTACATATTATATAAATATATAAATATATTATATAAATAAAATTATATTTATATGTATAAATATTATATAAATATAAATTATATTTACATATATAAATTCTATTTTATATATGCAATATAATATATATAATATATTATAAATATAAATATTAAATTTATAATAATATATTAAAATAATATAAATATAAATTATATTTATATATAATTAATATATAATAAATTATACTTATATTATTTTTAATATAATATATATTTATTATAATATAATATCATATATTTATTATAATATATTATATAGTATAATATATATTATATATATAAAATATATTATATATTTAATATATATTATATATAATATAAATATAATATATTTAAAATATATTAAAATAATGTAAATATAATTTATATGTATTATATATACAAATAATATAAATATAAATTATATATGAAATATATAACATATTATTTATTTGGTAATATATAAATATAAATTATATTTATATATTATTATATATTAAAATATTATATATTATATATATTTTAAGTTATACATAAATTATATATTAAGTTATATATTTAAAATTATATATTAAGTTATATATTTAAATAATATATATTAATTTAATATAGATTTAAGTAATATATATAAAAATTATATATTAAGTTATATATTTAAATAATATATATTAAATTATATATTATTTAAATAATATATATTAATATATAAATATATATTATATATTTTAAGTTATATATAAATTATATATTATATATAATAATAAATAAATAAAATAAAATAATATAATATAATATAATATATAACATAAAAATTATATAATTAAATATATAACATTATATATTTTATAATTATATAAAATTTTATATAATAATATATAATATAATATAATATTCGTATATTTATATTATATAATATATAATAATTTATGTATATATACAAATATGTAAATTACCCATCTTCAGGTATTCCTCTATGGCAACACAAAGGATATATATTTGAGGTTTATTTGGCTCATAATAAGACACACTGCTATGGGTCATGCACTGGCTATACAAAATGGAGAAGACATAACCTATGCCTTCAAAATGATAGCAGTGTAGTGGAAAAAATGGAGAGTTAAATCAAATATTTAGGTTGAGAAATACAATAATAAAGGTATACACTGAGTGGTAGGGGGAACAGAGAGGAGGAGATTCAGAATGAGACATTGCTTGGGTGAGAAGATACTTGACTATTATGATGTAGACTCAGTATGAGACAGGATGCAAAGTTCCAGAATGATGTGTGTGTTTGAAGAAAGTTGCCAAACTCCTGCATATGGCTATTGCAAAAATTCGAACTGGCAACTGAGTATTTGATTCTCCATTTTAAGATTTTATTTTCTAATAAATGCATTTGCAGTTTCTAAAATATATAGCTATGTGACACAACTGCCTATAAGCCTCCCGGATCTGACCCACTTTCAAAATGCTTTTCTATGTCGTTTATTTCACTCCAAGTTGCTGAGAAAATCAGTGGACCCGTGTGAAGTTAATTTTGTTTTTGATAAGGTTAAAATGACTTCTTTTGGGGGATTGAAATCCCTGGGAACTATTTTTCTAAACTCTGATTTAATCCATTTATGTTTGGTCAGTGTTTGTGTTTCATCTTTTTGTTAAGTGACTTTAAACAAGAACCCATAATTTGTGTATATGTGTATTTATATATGATGTATATCAGCATATATCTCTTTTTTCCTTAAAAAGAAAATAAGAAAGATTATGTTTGTATAGGCTGCAATTAACCCAATATGTGAACGTGATGTCGAAAATGTTTTTCCTTTACAGATTCTACTAAAATGGCAAGACTTTCCTGAAACAACATTTAGTATTTGTTTTTAAAACAAACCCCTGGGTTTATTTTGTAAAATCTCATGAATTTTTTTATTCATCTCATATCCTTTTTAGGGCTGCTCTATGCCAAAGGAAATAAGATTAAGGCAACGCAGGAAGAGTTCTGGTTCGCAATAAGGCACAATGGATATATCTTGTGTGGGATTTGAAAGGAAGAATAGAAAAATCTACATGAGTACTCTTGGGGGAACAGAGTAAGTTAAAATTCTTAAACTCTTTTCAAATGATAAGTCAGACCTTAAAAAAATAGTCTAGTCCTCAAATTGATAATAACTTAAATTTAGCTCCAAAGCTTCTTTAGAAAAGGAGGAAATCTAAGTCTTCAAAATCTTATAAAGCCCAGTGGCAATACTAAAGCTGGTATTGACAAAACACTGAAATAGATCTGTTCCCTGAATGTTTACTTTTGTGGTTCAAATAATTTAAGATGTAGTGTACCCTGGGAATTTTTCTCTCTTTGCTTTAAGTATTAACAGTGCTTGAAATAAAATATGTTTATGATGAAACCTAAGAGAATAGATTTCTATTGAACCCTCCCCTCTGCCCCCAGTGCCCCCAGTCACTGTCCTCAACTTCAGAATGCATCAAGGTTTAGAACTTGCTTGGATGTCAATAGAAATACTGCATTTTGCAGAGATACATGGGAATAAAGTGGAGTTAAGTTTAGGAAAGACGAGTGCTAGTGCCAAGAATGGGTATTTAACTTTGAAAGTATCAAGGTACACAAATGACATGATACAAATATCTTCTCCAAAATATATTCAAGACCCTTCCAGTCACATAGATTCACATTTTCTACCACCTCTCTGGAAACCTAATAACTAATAGTTTCGGATTTGCCTATATGTCCATGGCAAATAGGAGTTGCACTATTCAGGCATCTGTTTTGATAGGTCAGTTCATATGAGCCAGTGGATTTTAATAACTGAAAAAATAAAATTAAAAAGCTGTGAACAAAAACATAAAAATATTACATTGAAAAGTTTCTATGGCAGTTTGAAGACATTGTAGTCTCTTGAAACTGAATTAGTAAGAGAAGGCGGATGTTATTTGCAAATTTTTGTGGCTTTACAAGAAAATAAATAGTAATGATGCTGGCTACCTTGAGTAAGGAACATTAAGAATACCTCTCTGTGTGGATGTGTTTTCGTTTGAAGCAAACTGTGAAATTCACACCTTCTCTAGAATGTCCGGATGGCCTGGCCAATTCCTGGCAAGTTTTCAAAGAATGTTTGGTGACGTGCTCTACTTTTGTTTCGTATGCTGCTTCTTTTGTATGTGCCAAAGTTCAACTTCGGTCTTGGTGTTTGGCCACAAATAACTCCTCAGCCATGGATTTGACTTCAGCTATTGTGATAACCAAATAGTGAATGCCTACTACACCGTCACTTTATTTAAAATTTCCAATAAATAATGATGCCAATAAGCATTTGATACCATAGATTATTATCATATCCAATTTCAGAAACACAGAAAGTTATACTATTTGATTTTATTTTTGATATCTGAATATGCATTATAAATAGATAGAACATTCTAGATATAAGTTGATGTGGAAAATTCCCTTAAATGTTTTCTGTGTTGAAAATTCATCAATAAGTTGATATGTATATATGTTATTTCAAAGGTAAAATACTTCAATAATTAATGATCACTGTAAAATTGTATGTTTATAGTGTAGTTAAGAATTTTAAGTAATTAAAAATAAGGGAAGAGCACTTATAGCGTTAAACCATTTTAAAATATGTTTGATTTTTAATTATTTAATTTCAATTAGAATAGCAATTAAGACAGGAATCTTTCAAGGAAAAGTCTTACTGGTTAATATTTTACAGCTTATGAAAATGAATTAATAAGCAGAATGTCCTAACAAAGCATATTTAATTAAACCTGAAAACAATACATTCCATACAAATTAATTTCTTACAGTTCTGAATCTATGGAGACTAAACATTTAAATAAGTTTGTGGAAATTATTGCCATAAACTGCCTAGCATTTTCAGCACTGAAGATAAAGAATTTATGAGATTTGCCCAAGCTGTGGATTTTATTATGAAGTTCCGTTTGGAAACACAAGAACAAAAGTCTTCCAGAATTATATTCTGTCCTGTACTATGTCAATAGTAATATTGCTGAAAGTATTCTATTTATATACTATATATGGGACGTTGAGAGGGGACTATTTTAAAAAGTTGGACAGCAAGATGAAATAATGAATTCCATGCTTCTGCCTTACTTGTTGCTTAGAGATTCCTAAGTTTTACATAGTTGACATTATAGAGAGTCAGGCTGAAAACCCATTTCTAGGCCTGGGCCACCAAGAACAGGCACACTTCCCGGGCCTGAGGTGAAGTGGCACATTGCACCCGGGTAACTAGTACCTTGACTGAGCTAAGCAGCTGCACTTGCCAGAGCTGGGCTGAGATCGCACCACCCGTTCTAGGGAAGCAGCATAGAGGCTGAGCTGAGACACCCCACGCTATAGGCCAAACAACTGTAGAATCTTGCTTCCCTGAAGCTGGACTAGCCCCCTAACGTCTGAGCTTCTGAGACACCCCTTTGGGGGCAAGAAGTAGCACAGCAGTGACTCTATTCCCAGGATGGAGTATAATCATTGCTGTGTTGCTTCTTGCCTTCCCCCACCGGGCTCGAGCAATAGCCATGCTCAGTCATTTTAGGGCACTTGCTGCTGCTGCACCTGGCCTCAACCTGAGATACTGCTGAGCCCCATCATCCTAAGGTCTAGATTCACCATTACATGGTGTCTCATCTGCAGGGACCCAAGTTGCCACTGAACCCTATTATCTCAGGCTCCTGAATCACAACTGTATCCTGCACTCCAGGCTTAAACCCAGAGAACTCTCTTTCTCCCTTAGAGTCAGGCCAGGTCTGTGCTCTGCCATCCATACTATACCTATACTGGACAACTATGACTATACCTCTTGGACCGGAGCTGCTGCAGGGTGCATCAGAGTCAGATCCTTGTGCCATGGGCAACCTACATCCAACTCTGAGAGAGAACGCCAACCTGCACCCTAAGATTTAGGTGCCACAATGGATTCACAAGACCCTGAGCCTAGGCCCTGGCTCCACAGCCACTCTGAGTATCTGCACCCAGAACTAGGACCATGGCAGCCCTTGTAGGCCATATTAGATTTACTACTAAGAGAAATATCCCCATCTATATCTCTCCATTATATGGAATGCGGGCGGAGGTACAGAAAACCCCCAAATCCCATACCTCCAAAGATATTTACAATCTATGCCACCACTGCTATTACTACAAATCTCTACCACATAGGCCACTGACACACCCAAAGTTATTACTAATGTTGAATGCAGCTAAAGAATCTAAAAGACTACCCCTGCACTTAGCTGTATGTGCAGGGGTCACCATTCCTTTCCCAAATGGTGTTCTAAGACTCAACAACAGATGAAAGTGTTTCTCTACAAAAGCCACTCTAGAAAATCTGAAAAAGGTGATTGTTCTATCAGATGCATAGACATCAACATAGAAACACAAGAAACATGAAAAAGCAAAGAAATATGACACAACCAAAGAACATAAGAAGTCCACAGTATTAGATTCCAATAAAAAGGAAATCAACAAATAGCCATAAAAGGAATTCAAAATAATGATATTTGGGAAACTCAAGGAGACCCAAGAAAATACAGACAATTCCTAGGAAGACACTTCATGATATGAACATGAAATTCATCAATGACATAGATATCATAAAAGAAGAATCAACAGAAATCCTGCAGCTGAAGAATCCAATGGATGAAAAATTTTACATACAATAGAGAGCTTTAACAGCAGACTTCATCAAACAGAAGAAAGAATTTCTGAACTTGAAGATAGGTCATTTGAAATGATACACTTAGAAAAAATCAATATAAGAATGAAAAAGCGTCAAGAAGTCTACAAGATTTATGAAATGGCATTAAGCAAAGAAATACTTGTATTATGGAATTTCCAGAAGGAAAATAGATTTAAGAAGGCATAGAAAACTGATTTAATTTAAAAAATTGCTGAAAACTTTCTAAGTCTGGAAAGAGATATGGACATTCAGATCAAGGAAGCTCAAAAGTCCCCAAATATGTTTAACCCAAAAAGGCCTTCTTTGAATCACATGTTAGCCAAATTGTTAAAAGTGAAAGACAAAGAATTCTGAAAACTGCAAGAGAAAAGCATCAAGTTACATATAAAGGAATGCCCATTAAACTAATAGCCGATTTGTTAGCAGAAACCTTACTGACAAGTAGAGAATGAAATGGTATATTCAAAGTACTGAAAGAAAAAAGTTTGGCAGCCAAAAATACTATACTGAGCAAAGCTATTCTTCAGAAATGAGGGAGGAAGGAAGTCTTTCCCAAACAAGAAATTCAGGCCGGGCGCGGTAATCCCAGCACTTTGGGAGGCCGAGTCTGACAGATCACGAGGTCAGGAGATTGAGACCCTCCTGACTAACACAGTGAAACCCTGTCTCCACGAAAATTACAAAAAATTAGCTGGGTGTGGTGGCAGGCGCCTGTCGTCCCAGCTACTGGGGAGGCTGAGGCAGGAGAATGGCATGAACCTGGGAGGTGGAGCTTGCAGTGTGCCGAGATGGTGCCACTGCACTCTAGCCTGGGCAGCAGAGCGAGACTCCATCTCAAAAAAAAAAAAAAAAAAAAAGAAAAAAGAAATTAATCACCAATAGATCAGCCATACAAGAAACATTCAAGGGAGTCCTGTTTGAAAGTGAAAAGATCATTATCATCATCATGCAAATGTACAAAAGCATAAAACTCACTGGTACAGCAGATTCACAAAGGAGTGTGAGAAAAGAGTCAGATATTACCACTACAGAATACCACCCAGCTGCAATGATAAACAATAAAAGAGAAAGAAAGGAAATAATGATATACAAAACAACCAGAAAACGATGAACAAAATGACAGGAGTAAGTCTTCATCTATTGATAATAATCTTGAATGTGAACAGATTTAATTCTCTACCTGACTATACTGTATGCTGCCTTCAAGAAGCTTTTTTCACCTATAAAAACACATATAGACATAAAGAGAAAGAATGGGAAAAAATTTCTGTGTAAATGAAAGCCAAAAACGAGAATGAGCAGGAGTAGCTATACTTAAAGAGAACAGTCATTGATTAAAAAACCATAAACAAAGTAGTCATTATATAAATATA